TCCATTAAAAATTTTAGAGGTTCAATAATGACAGTTAGACCTTGCTTAATTATGGAAGCAATAGTAAAAATTAAGCTTTTGCCTCCCCCAGTGGGCATCAATATTACACAGTCTTTGCCCTCAACTATGGCTTGGATGGCCTGTTGTTGTCCCTCACGGAAGGAATCATATCCGAAAACTGTCTTCATGACATGGAGAGGTTCATCTTCTTTAGACACGGCATCTGGAACCCCTTGCATAATTCCAGCATGAACTGGCTGGGTTTCAGGTGCAGGAGTAGGTAGTGGACTTGCCTGAAACTACAATTTAAATAGCAGACAAAAGATTATGTTTGCCACATGAAGCAGTTCTTTTGAAGATGGTGAAGGTATTTTTAGGGGGGGGGGGGCATGGCAGTGGCTGATTTCAACAAGAAAATTGGCCAAAAAGAATAGAATATATCTGGGCAAACAGAGGTTAATTTTAATTAATTTGCTGGTCAATGTTCTCCTGTTATCAGTGAATTGTAACACATAGGTAATGAGAATTAAAGAAATGATCTCCAATGATGAATATTTACTTATGTCTTGATGTGTATACAAGTTCTCCCAACTAGTACTCATGAAAATGTTTGAGACCAGTAAGGATAATTTGTGAAATGGTGTTTTTTAATTTCTTTAAAAGTACTTAATTTTAAATACTAGTGTTAGGATAGAATTTTACAGCACTCACCCAGAGGAGTCAGAAAATAATCTTGTCTTTATGGGTAAAAATTGTATGTTTTAGGTGCAGTTCTGAAAGTCTCAAAATTCTACTCTGTGTATGTTAATTTAGTTAAAAGTTAAAATGAAAGAATAAAAATTTAAAACATCCAACAACAAACAGAATGCATTGTTTTATTCTATGGTATGTCTTTCATATTTTCATCCACAATTAAATTTGGAGTGGGACAAAGACAATTACCCCATTTATCTTTCTAGCTACCTTTTTATGAAACGTGGCTTCTGCATAGATTTTTTCCTTATTTCGCCACAAGGCAAATGTTGACTCCAACCACTTGTTCTTCACGGCAACTGTTACAGGTTTATTTCCAGCCTCCAGCCAGTTCAATACTCCTTTATGCCAAAGGTAAAGGCCAAACAGCTTTGCTGCCTCTTTCTCGTGTGTTGCCACTAAGGCAAAACATTCATCATTGAATTCAATGGTGAATGATTCATAATGAGCTGAATTCTGGATTGTTATAGAAGACAGGTGATCAGCGAGTTTAATAAATAATTATGCAACGTTAAAGATGAAAATTAACTGCAACTGTATGTATTTAGTTGAAGTTATTTTGACTGTTAAGTATTTTTGGTGTTTGTGCAATAAAATAATAAATGGAATAATTTATAAGTTTTCAAGGGGATTTCCAGCAAATAAAGACTATTTACAAGACTGACACATCAACGAATCAACCATTCCTGAGCTTTATTTAAAACAAGAAAACAGGAAATTTAATACATATCTTACATGTGGTATTTTTGTGCTGCTTTTAAAAGAATATTTTGGTACGGATTGTTGTTTATTAACGAAAAGTCTTTCAACTGAAGCTTAAATTTATCGAATTTGATTATACTGCTGAACAGAAAGCTCCTTTTTACAGCAATATTTTTCTTACAGGAAATATATCAGCGATTTGATCGAGTACATTTCAAAATACACATGAAAAGCATTTATTTGGTCGAGGAAAAATATAACTAATAAGCTTAAGTTTAGCAGCACTGCAAGGAAATTTCGTACTCGATAATCAATGAATTTAACAACACTTCAAAGAAACCTTACTTGTTCTCTTCTCTTTTGAGACAGAATCAATAAGTTGTTCAGAGTTTCATCTGCCAAACGTTTCCTTAAGATATTCTTTCCTTCTTTAATTTCTTGATCGCCACATGGCGGGTCTCGCGAATGTCGAATTCTGAAGTGATGCTTTAAGCCATCGCTACATAGCAAAATACTTTCAGACAAACAGTCTTTATGAGGACAACAAAGTTTTCCAGCTTTCCACGCATCCAAATACGTTTTTTGTACTTGAACATCGCGTAACCGCAGAACAGGACATTCCAATCTGGCCGCCATTTTGCTGACCGACAAACATGTGCGGCATACCCCGGTGAGGAATACTGATGAAAAGTTACCTCCCCCAGATGGCGGCCATATTGGGCGTGACATCTGGCAGAGGCTCTCGCGGCCGCTCTCGCCATTTTATTACGCCTGCACTCACTACGTACAGCGGACTCTCCCCACCTAAAACCTGTCAGAGCCTCTGCGGAGGAGAGAG